AAAGACGGAGGAAGGGGCGTTGCAGTACTGAAACGCCGTCTAAGCTGTTCGCCAATCACAGCTGGGACAGCTAACCAATCACAACACATTTCGTTTTTTTCGAAAGGCGGGCCTTCATTAAAACCCAGAACTAATCGAGCCGTTTGTGCCAGGCTGGGGAGAAAGGTATTTTAATAATGTAAATTATGTGAAAAATAATGCGTTTTTCGAACCACCAAGCATGAGAGCATGTTCTAGTACACCCCCAAAACAAAATAAAGACTTTGTAAAAGAGCATAATAGGACCCCTTTAAATGAGTGACATTGTGACTTCATAATGAGCCGTTTGTTGTAGTTCTTGAAAAGTGTTTTCAGTTCAATTGAATATCTCCCTTTGGAGTGGACTTTGCACTTTGTAACCTTGCAGATCTTTTTTATGCTCAAACATCAACATTAGACACTAAAAGTAGAAAATGTGAAAAAGCATAATAGGACCCCCTTAACAAAAGTGTCACATTTATTCACTGAAAAAAAAGAAAAGAAAAATCCAGAATTTGAAAGATTTTTATTATTATTATTATTCTGCCTGGAGCCAAAAAGAAGGCTGACATTTTTCTCCTGCTCTGTTAAAAGTGTTGATATGTGGGCAGAACTTGTTAGAGTTTATGAACTCCTGTTCTCCTTACAATCTCTTTCTGATATCATTACTGTGACAAAATGACAAGGAGATGCAGCCACGCCTCATCAAAATGGCGTTTTAAAGGAGTTCTTAGTTCTTCCATTATTCCCCAACCCAAAGATATATATCCATACAGCTCTAGAAAACTTACACACAGCTCTCTCTCTCTCTCACTCTGTCTCCCTCGATGCTCTCGTCTTTGCAGCTGCTTTCCAAATTCTGTTGCTTTGCTCTTCTAAATTGGCTACTGTTGATTTTCATCTGTTGTTTCGATTAGAAAGCATCTGCCAAGAATTATAAATGGATCTGTTGCTAGCTGTCTTATCAAAGATATTTCAATAAATGGTGAGAAGAAACAAGAACTTTAAAACCAAAACTTTTTATATAAGAGTTTATATTAAGAAGAAACACAGTAAGAAATTATTCTTTTTTTTTTTAAAGTTTTCTTGCCTTATGACTGCAGTAAAAAATGGTAAAAAGAGGATCCCAAAAGTTTCTATGTGATGCATCACATTTTATTATATTTTATTAAAATGAATACAATGCTTCTTCTTATTTTTATAAAGTAACACCGTACACTGCCTGACTTTATTGACCATTGATCATGGAGAGACCAAGGACCATCTTCTATTTTACTTATATTGTTATTTCTGTTTATCTTGTATAAATCAATGTTTCAACTTTATTTTTGCTGTTAAATTTGTAAGAAGTTTGTTTAAACATGAAATGTTCCAGCAGCAAATGTACAGTCTCACAGAGGGTCAACATTTTAAAATGTACAACAGGCCATACAAATCAAGAACAGGACTCGCATAGGCCTGTACCAGCAGGTCTTATAACTATTAGTAACTTGTTTGTATTCAATATTCACACTGTGTGCTCTCTTCTCATGTTTTTAGTCTTTTATGTAATTTCCCCCCACAGTTTGCCTGTTGTCATCCCTTTGTTTCCTTTTTTAAATTCTGTTTTTTATAGTCCTCTTGCATTGTCTCCCTCTCTCAGGACATGCTGTTAATTACATTTGAGAATTTGACATCCCAGAGCAGAGAGCATTTTAATCAACACAGAAAGATAGTCTTGGATACCTATGCTGTGACAAGCATGTCACCGGAGACCCGCGGTGTGGTCCTCTGTGTGCGTTCACAGTCTTTATTAAGGCTTTCTCCCGTTATCAAGAAACAGAGAATTAAAAATGGGTCTCATGTGTCAGAGCTGCTATAACAGGACCGAACACAATTAGAGTGGACATGGAAGGAACTGATAAGAGAGCATGGAATTAAGTGGATCAGGGTTTTAAAAACAATGTACAAATGATGATAAATTGCAACATATGAATTTAGCATGTGCATTCTGATGATGCATCATCCTGTATATTATTAGGGGAAATAAACATTTGCTAATTTATTACAGCACAAAACTGGGGTATGAGGACCTCCTACCAGGCAAGAAACCCCCCGTAGGAAACCATCTGTTATCTGATTACAGAAACAGAAATATATTTATTATCTAAAAACATTTATTTTTAATTTATTTATTTTTGTTTTTAAAAAAGTATAATAATAATTAATTATATATATATATATATATATATATATATGGAGTGTGTGTGTGTGTGTGTGTGTGTGTGTTAATAAATATAAAATGATAAATATTAAATCAAATATTCTATTTAAGAGTATGCATCTGATTAGGTTTATAAAAAAAGAAGAAGAAAAAAAGTAAGCTAACCTCAAACCTGTTCAGATATAATAAGTCCCACAAAAGTTGATGTTCAAATATCAAAATAGATGCACTATATGCACTGAATTCTATGGTCAAGTAAAAATTGAAGGAGGCTCTGGGGGCATCTTGCCCGGTTTTCCTCTACTACTTACAGAGATGTGAGTTAGTGACAGGACTGCTATAGTGATCTCACACTACTGATGAAAAATTATTTTGGCATAAAGGATCTAGAGATACCAGCTAGCCAGACTGCATCTAAAAAAACAAGCTGACAGCACCAGATCTTGCATGATATAACTTGAGGCAGCTGTCAGGCGGTGCTTGGTCTTTTACTCAAGTCTCTTTCTCAAAAGGCTTGTCATAGAGATGATATTATTCGGATTCTTGGAAGTCACAGTAACAGGAATTATTTTCAAATCCTAAAAGGTTTTTCATCATCATGTCCTATTACCATCTCCCATGCCTCTCAGATCAATTTGAGTTGACTTTTACTATTATTTCTTTGTTTGACTTAGTGTGTGTTGTTCATACTAAGATAAAATGCTTTGTTAGAGTAGAGACATGAGAGCCAAGCATCATTAGACATCCTTGCTAAAACAAAAAAAACATCCATCTTGCCTACCATCTGAAATGTGTATATGCGCATAACTGGCCCTACACATCTTAACATGTGCTTTTTTCATATTCTGCTCGCTCGCTGTCTGGATCTAATAAAACACTATTGACATTTACATTTCTCAGACAGGCAGTTTAACCCTATAAACACTAGACTAGACTTTATTCATTTTTGCAGACAATGCATAGCTGCTAGTTAGCAACAAAATAAACCAATGTATAGGCACATTGGAAAAATGGGCATCTACCTGCAAAACTCCAAAAAACGTACCTATACAATTCACTGCAGTTATATAAAATGAATACTAGAGGCAGTAAAACACCAACAACTTTTAAAGCTAAAATGACATGGTTGCTTCTGCATGTGCATATTTAACTCATGTTTGTTAACATTATCAATTAGGTTTAGGGTGGGATTTTCAAATGCGATTACCTTTTAGGCAGCGTCTCTCACCAGACATTTAATTTCCGAACTGGCACGAAACGTACAACAAACAACATAATAAAATGTTACCAGATTCACATTCATCTGTTTCAGAAAAAACTGTACGTGGTTTTAGAGCCTCACTGGACATTTGAAAGTAATATCATTTTGCATAAATGTCGCCACAGGCATGTTTTTTCCAATGAGCCTGGGTTGAAAGAAACAATACAAGCTCAACCTTCAAACCAGCGCTATCCAATATTCATTCTGGAAATTCATGCTGGTCTAAGCAGGTTTCCTGCAGTTGAAGTGACCCCTGTGCTCTTTTTATGTGGGATTGAGATTCAGCACACGATAATGGGAGAAAAGGAGAAAGTGTATGGTGCTGGATGGATGGATGGAGTAAAGTAGGGGACAGAGAGGTGGGTAGGTGTGGGCGTCTCCTTCCCTGCAGCTAAACACATTTAAGCATGCACACTCTTTGCACTGAATGCAAAGACCTGTTCCAATCTGAATATGCAAGTCACCATAGATAAAAGCATCTGCTCTTTGAATATTAATAACCCAATGGAGGCAGTTTCATAATCCCCTCTGTGTTACTGAAAGTCTGCGGCTCTCACTATGTCTCAGTGAAACACCCCAATCTTGCCATTCTAGAGTTATTCTTGTCTATGTAAATCAAAGTTGCATAATACATGAAAGTTATATTCTCGATTTTTCTCAACATTGGGACTTTCCCAAAGGGCCAGTTGACTTTTTGGGACAGCTGTCAAAACCAAATTTAGATGCAGAATAAATAATCAAAGATTTTAAAGTCCTCCCTGTGGTGAAAACCAAGTTTTAAAAATTGTTTACATGTCTGGCTGGTGTTTTTAATATGCTTAAAGACAAACCATGTGCAAAATTATCAGTCAACACCACTGCTAAGCATTTTCTCTGTAAAACTGTGGTGTACCAAAATCAGTCTCGAAAACACAATTTTAAACCTCCACTGTTTCCTACATCATGAACATGTAGCCAATCCCGTCAACCTGCGGGGCAGGGCTTTTCATCTATTGGCCAGAGGTGTTTTTTTTTGCAGCGTTGAGCATTGTAACCAATCACAGACATATCTGTTGATTTCTTGAATGCAATGGCCAAGCAGAGGTGTTTAGGTTAATCAGAACATCTGAGTTTTGTTTAGCATTTAGTTGAGTTCTGCATGCTCACGAATCCTCTCATTATAACAAACAAAGTGTAGACGTGATGTAAATAAGAGATTAATTGTGCAGTGTAAAACTTAATTGATGACAGAACTTTGTGAGATCGCAATGAACTAAGATGAGTGAAGGCCTTTAAGTGATTTGAAAGGGATTGCTCTTTGTACGCTTTCTAGGCTATAATCTATTCAGAATTTGAATAAATTCACTCGCGGATTCACTCTCTGATAACCAATATTGCCACTTGCCATTGTGTAGCGTTTACTACGTTAGTTAACTGAGTGAAAGTAGAGCAGGTCCGAGCTGGTGTGATTGAGTGGAGGTGGGAACCAATTTGCATATTCATAGAGCTGCGTATACTCAATGAGGTAAGGGTGTAGAGTTTTATTCAAGCCATTTTAACACATTAAGAAATAATTTTCATGGGAAAAACCAAACTAAAATAGTCAGGCCCATTTAAGTAACAATGGTGGGTCTTAGCTTAGGCGACATGGAAGAGTTTTCATATGGAAGTTTTCAGGCAGAAATACTGATACATCATTCACATAATTTTTCCCTCAAACCAAGAGCAAACATAGGTCTAGCGAATTCTAAAGAGGAACCCAATGAACATGCAAAACGTACATACTCCCAACCAATACAAAAACTTTGACAATGGAGTCCTCTATAAATCTAGAGGAAATGTTGTGTGAGAACTGTTGCACACATAAATATGGAAATTGTGTGAAATTATTAGTAAATGTGGCCCCTTGTTGCCTTAGCTTCAACATAGTTAGAAATCAAGATAGTAGCCTACCTTGTGTACCTATATGGATATAGATTTCAGCATAAATCCCTGACAGTACCAATATGAAAAAGGACAAAAATCAACATTCAGAGGCATACAGTACATCATGAAATTGCCAGAAAAAGCAGCTTGAGTGAGCGAATGATAAAATGTGCTCTCTTTCAATCTTTTTCAGGACCTGGGATTAGAGGGTACGTCACTCAATGATATCCTCTATAAGAACGCATCCTTTCTAAACCTGGTGGACCCCATATCTCATGAGCTCCTGCTGAGCCTGGCTAGAGACATGCAGTGCCCAAAGAAGGTGAGTCATTCAGCTTCAATTGAGCATGTCATTTCTTTGCCTTGCTGATTGCTAGTTAAAGTAAATGAAAAGAAATGTGTTTGCATATAGTGATTAGTTGTACTAAGATGTTTAATTTGTGTTTCTTCATGTATTCATTCCAAACCCTGTATGCATCACTGAAGTTTAGTTGAATCTCTTCAATCAAACCATTAGCTTTTAAGCTCAAGTCTTCATAAACTTAAACTATTGTTGCTTTTGAGTGACGTCAGTTGTTATTTTAACAATTTGCATCACAACCATTCCTAAAATTAATAAATTCTTTGAAAGATATTCAGAGTGTTGTCTGAGGCACTGTGTCTGAATTCGCTGATCATTATATGCCGAAAGTATGGTAAGATTGAAGATCAGCAAAGCATCTGTGTGCCTTAAGTCAGACCAACAGCTATCCAGGATCTTTGAATCAGCACCACAGGCCATTCCATTGAGACCGATTTCTTTTTCCTGCTGAAGTCTTGATTTGTAAGCCATACCAGCTGCAGGGCACAATAGAAGCTATCAGTCTGATGAAAACTAAAGTCTGCTTGCTTATCATTCTCATATTCTTGTCCATTAAAGATTGTCTATAATAGTGTGCAGATTTTTTCTTCTTCTAATAATGATTAATATAGTTGCTGAACCCTGAGGCTGCTGCTGGGTATAAGAGCAGATGCATTACATTAGATGGAGATCTTGCTGTGTGTCTGTCAGAGTCATAAGGAGCTGGTTCTTAACAGAGATGTACATTCTTATCTAAAGATTCAGCTCAGTGTGACACTCAGTATAGACTACAGGACTGTAAACAAACCAGGAAACTGCACGCTTTAACCTGACCTGCTTTGCAAGTGACAGTGGCTGAATTTGATTTTATCTGAGAGATGACTGCCAAAAAAGGCTCTGATGAGGCAGACATTCAGGTGGGAATTGTGCCCACTGATACCCAGTTCACTAACAGAATTATGCAAATTAGGTAATGAAACAGACAAAAAATTGTGCTGGACACAGTTGCATGATGCCACTGCACAGAATGCAATACTATGGAATCTGATTTCAGTCACATATGAAAAAATCATGCTTTGGCCATCATAATTATGATATTAAAAAAATTATAATTATGACAAAAGTAAATTGAAATTGTGAGATAAAAAGTTGAAATTCTGACATAAGTAGAAATTATGATATAAAAAGTCACAATTATGACATAATGATAGAAGTCATAAGCATGACATTAAAATTATGATATAAAAAGTTTAAAAAAATTATAAAAAGTCATAATTATGAAATAAAATGTTATAATTATGGCAAAAGCTGAAATTATAAGATACTAAGGGCCAGATTTACTAACAGCTTGTGTCAGCGCAAACCCTCTTTTGGCTTTAAAAAGACATGATCATGAGATAAAAAGCCAAAATTATGAGATACTAAGTCATAATTGAGATACAAAGTTAATTATAATTATGAGTTTCTCATAATTATGACAAAAAGCTTGATTTAGTTTTTCTCTCACTTGTATGCAACAATTATGATTTATCTCATAGTTGTAACTATTTAATCTCAAAATTATGATTATTTTGAACTTTTATTATCTCATAATTAGATTTTAAAATATGATTACTAGAAAATTCACAAATATTTTATATAAAATTCCAAAGGTGGAAATAAAATGAATAAGCCGCATTCTATAATAGGCCTCATATGCATAGAAAGAAACAGTGTTTGAGCTGAAAACAAATGACAATGACTTCATTTGAATGCACAGTACTTTGTAACACACACATTCTAAATACTACAAACTAAAGTTGTGCAACTGTGAATTGAATTTGCCCCTCAGCTTTTTTGCAATTCATGTTTAAAGCGGAAACGTTAAGGGCATTGGTGTATTAAATGGCATTGGTTTAACATCACACCTGTTCCAGTATAAATATTTGATGACATAATTTATTCCACCTCCTACAGTCTGCAGTGTACCGTCAGTTTTGCATCTCTAAATGTGAAATCGTCACCTCGCTTGTGCCAGTGGGAGGTCCAGAGATTTCCATCAAAGCAGGGTGCAAGTTATTAATAGAAGGCAAGACAGCAGTGGAATTTTGGTTTAGAAAGTGAGGTTGGATTGTGACATTCAAATCCAGAGCAATCCACAATAATCCAGTTAGTGCAACCTCAATAATCTGAGGTTAACAAATTGTGTCGTCTAAGTGACTATGCCCCGGATCCTGTGTGATCTTGGGTAAAGTTAACTACAGCAGACAAACAGCTCTGTTTAAAGCAGACAAACTTTAGCAAGTGTCCAGATGACATTGTATGGATGTCAATAAAAATGGACTTTCATTGATATTAAGATCGATGAGATTTGTAATTTAATTTAAAGGCATAAAAATGTCCCTCATCCAATGCCATGGCCTCTGACAGCTGTCTTACACACTTTATCGAGAATATTTTACAAGGCAGCACAGACAGCGACGGATCGACCTACCCAGAAAAGCTCAATTCGTTTAAAGAGGATTTTAATTAATCATCTTGATTTTTATTTTTAGGAAAATCACTGATCTGAGGAATTAGTCTGATTTGGCTGGTACACATTGAAAGTGTTTAATGATTCAAAGCTTTAGATGATCATCCACAAGGCAAAAAAAAAGAAGACACAAAGCTAATCTGGATTATACTGTATATCAGAGGAGATTACTGCTTTCAATCTCAGAGAAGATTGTTTTTCTGATGTACTTTTTGTCCAAATATAAAATTAGATCTAAAAAGCACATCAAACTTTAGAAAAAAAAAAAGACTGAAATAAGAAACTGCCCTGATCTGCTCCTTATAGTGCGTTATTTTGTTTACTCGCAGAATATGAGAACTTCATGCCGCAGGCTCCACATTTGTCTTGTCAAATTTAATCGAATGATTCTTTTTTCATTTTATATTGTGTCTTTCTATTCATGTTGTTCTTTCAGGACTCAGATACGCAGAAGTCGTCTGATAAAATCTGCAGACAGCTCATCTACCACCTGACCCCTCACTCCAAGTGGCTTAGAAAAAGTATGACCCGGAGAAAGGCCCAGGCCTGGTGAGAAATTTTCCCTGTCCTCCATGCCATCAAAACATCAGAAAGTGCTGATATGGAGTTCAATTTCATTCCATCCCTCAGAGTTACACCTCACATGCTGAACTAGATGTACTGTTTACTTCAGCTTCTATTCGGTATATTATAAATGAATGAGGCATTTACATTGCGCTTTACTATGTATATATTCTATTCTATTCTTTTTTTTTTTTTAGTATTTTATAACTATTAATAAATTATATTAATGGTTCAAATCTTTTTCGTAATCAGTATTTTTGTCCAGTAAAATATGTAGACATATTTTAAATAACAAAATTATTATTATTCAGGTATTATTAAAGACATAAAAATCCTTAAAACAAGATACATTTCTTGGGAAGCAAAAGTGCATGAGATATTAAGACTTGATTTCAGATTATATATCTTGAATTAAGTATTTTTTCTTATGTCATGGGCAGTTTTTTTCATATTATATATATTATATATATTATTATATTTATTTTATTTATATTTCAGTTAGTTGCGTAGGGAACATTTCTAATACATTCTGATATTTATATTTTATTTCATTTCATCTTTATTTCAGTTCTCAAAAATGATTTTTAATAATTTTAGTTTTAGTTAACATAAAAACACTGGTCCACACAATTTTTCCCTTTCCTTCTTTTTAAGACCTTGAAAATCTACTGAAATTTGCATAAACTGCAGAGCAGTTCTATGATTTATTGAACAGAAATCCGGTAGCAGTTTCAGACAGTGTGATTATAAATGAGTGTAACAAATTAGAGCTTGTTTGGCCTGCCACCGCTGGCCCATTAATTTCAGCCCGCCTTCATCTCTGCTATTGATTGGTAGAGTCTTTTTACCTGCACTGCTGCTGGATGTGGGAAGTGCTGTCTGAAGAGAGAGCCATAATGCCCTTTGTGACTTGGGTGCGTAATACTCCACAAGGTTGACCTGAACCTTATTTGTTCAACATAAACCTGTTCACTTCACCTGATTTATTAAATTCATTAGAGCAGCCAGTTTGCAGTATATTAAACAAGCACCAGCCAATGGTTGCAGAATATATTTTGCATATTTGTGTGCTTGTTGAAAAGTGAATAAATGTGTGTATGAATGCGTTCCGCCCACATGGCCATTACATGCGCCCTGAATCCATTGCCTCTACTCAATACAGTTTTTCCACATCCTGAATTAACCATGCTGCCCTGCTCCATTACCTTTAGGCTCTCAGGGGAGAATAAAGCAATGAGTGGATGAGAGACTCACAGAGAGAGAAGGGTATTTTCACACTGCGATTCTCATGTATTATGCAGAATCGCTAAACATAAGCAAGTGTTACTGTACTGGTCATTTTTAAAACAAGGACATATCGCTTATGAAAAATAATGTGGCAGTTCCAATGGTTCAGTAATGCTATCAAATGGTTCACTGCCAAAAATCTTTTTCTTAATCAATATTTTGGTCCACTAAAATATGGAGACATACAACAAATACTTAAAACAAGATACATTTACTTGAGAAGCAAAATTGCACGAGATATTAAGACTTTCAGAGAATATATCTTGAATTAAGTTGTTTTTTATCATGCGCAAATTGTCATGCGCAAATTGTTTTATTAGATTGTTTTATTATTATTTTTAGATTTATGTTCAAAACAAGACAAAAAGGGGTATAAATACCATGTTGGTTGATATATTGGTGTAATCCACATGGAATAAATATCATATTGTATCATAACATGTCTAAAAAGATGGTATAAACTTTTTATATTATATTATATTACATAAAAAAATTATTGCTATACATATACAGTATATATATATATATATATATATACTGTATATATGCAAGAATGATACTTCAATATTTTTTTTTCTTACAGTGTAATACCATGGTACATATATATAGGCTTACAATGGTACTCATTGATTAACATATGCATGTGCCATATTATTTACATGGTACTCCAAGCTACTTTAAAGAATACCATGGTATACATGTTCAAAAAACTTACCATAATGATGGTACATGTCCAAAAACATGGTATTACCATGATACCTTTTATTCTTTTCTGTTAGTACGTGTTTTATGTGTGTGTGCAAGTTCATCTAATTTGGCTTTATTGGCAGTGGTGCCAACCTTCTGTGTGATTAGAGATTCAGACAAGATTGCTCTGCTGTGTGTGTGTGTGTGTGTGTGTGTGTGTGTGTATGTGTGTGTTCAGCTCAGGTTCAGGAGCTCTGTTGAGGAGGATCTGTTACTCTCCCTAGAGCTTTGTGTTCATATAAGTCAATCTGACAAACAGAGAGTCTGCACTACAGTGCAGTGCACTTCTGTAGTGCTCTGCACTACAGAAACCAGACACTGCACAAGGAACATGCTCTTCAAAAGAGTGTGAGAGAGAAATGAAGAAACAGAGTATGGCTTTAGCGCAAAGGACTAGAGAAAACAAGTCACAGAGAAACTGAGAAGGAAGTCTTTGCTGCTAAAAAAATAATTTTCTCAATCAATATTTTTGTCTTTTTTTCAATACAATACCTAAAATAAACCAAGATGCATTTACTTCATGCATTACAACTTGAGACTTGTTTTTAGAGGATATATCTTGAGATATTTTATAAGTTACATTTTATGTGTCCGTCTTCATTCACTATTTTTCATTTCATGATTGCATGCTGGTCCTATTAGGTGCCATATCGCCATAATCCAGCTCCATTTACATGGAAATGAAAAACGAAATGAGAAAGAGGGTTGGTTATATTGGAATTGACAGATTTATATATGTCTATTCACTTTTGATGGATCTGCATTAGTTTGCTCGTCTCTTACAGAGACATCCTCAGACATTTATTGTGGTTTAACTTGCATGGATGGCGACTGAAGATAATGTAATTATAAAATGGTAAAATGATTAATGTAACATCACGGTGTGTTACTTGATAGAAAAGAGAGAGCAGAACGGTCTGACAATGCTAAATGGGGGGAGTAAGAGAGATCCAAGCGGTGATAAAAGAAGCAGGATTTCATCTTGTGCTGGTTCTTTTGTGTGTGGATTCTTGGGGCTTGATCAGGAGTGTTCTTGATCATGCATGCTCAGACATACACAAACACAATCTGTCAGTCAGCCTAATGTATTACTTTTGCTTTTGCATGTATTATGGATGCACAATTAATTCTACTTCCCTTGCATCAACATTTTCTATTTGCAATGTGTTTTTGCAGTGACTGAGTATTGTAACTGATCACGGATGCACACAAATGCAATGATGAATCAGAGGTGTTTAAATTACTACCTTTCAAAAGTTTGCTAAGATTTTCTTATGTCTCTTACGCTCACCAAGGCTGCATTTATTTGATTAAAAATAGAATAAAAACAGTAATATTGGGAAATTATTACAATTTGCTGCTCAAGAAACATTTTCCTATTATTATCAGTGTTAAGAACAGTTGTGCTGCTCCATGTTTTTGTAGAATCTGGGATTCTTCGATGAATAAAAAGTTCAAAAGAACAGCATTTATTTGAAACAGAAATCTTTTGGAACATTATAAATGTCTTTCTGTCACTTTTGTCCATGAAGTGCATTCTTATTGAATACATGTATGAATTTAGTTAATTAATTATTCATTTTTAACATTATAAATATGTTTACTGTCATTTTTGGCCATTTAGTGCATCCTTGCTGAATAAAAGTATTAATTTTAAAAAATATCTTATTGACACCAAACTTATAAACAGTAGTGTAAGGAAGTTCAGTAATTCTAAATGATTCTGGATTTAGATAGACACTCTAAGAGAGCAACCCAACAAAACTCGAATGTTTCCATAATCCACAAGGCCAATAGAGACCATGAACTAAGAGAATAAGTAATTGCATAAAACATATGTGCTTAGCTCATGAATATTAATCATGTGACGTGACATTCACCTAGTGGTGCCACCTGGTTTTCTGTAAGGCAGACATTGGTAATTAGGCACTAACGTTACAGCAGATCATGACTTCATGATTGCGTGTTTATCCATCAAAGCGAGTTGTCACAAAATAAAACTCCTAAAATATATTCTTTCCCAAAAAAGTTGCAGAGGGTGAACAGAAATGTTCCTGCATACAACTTTCAAGCTATAAACCTATTGTGGATTGCATGGTCTCTAGATAATCTGATTTTGGAAGAATTTGATAAGCAATGTTTCAGTTCCTGTTCCAGTGTCTTTATTCATTTATTTTGTATTGCCTCTGCAAATATGAGCAGTTTGTGACACGGTTGAGATCTTTTCTGAAACTCTAGTGGAAACACATGAAAGATTACTAGTGTTTAGTTCTCAGCAGTAAATCTGAGATGCCATAGACTTTAACGATTAGTTTACACAAACAAATGACAATTCTGTCATTGTTTACTCACCCTCATGTGGTTTCAATGCCGTATTTGTGATTTTAATTTCAGCGGGTACTAATGATTCTGTTCTCAGACGGCATGTACCTGTAATTGTCAGTGTTTCTGCTTCTGTATATTGTATACCAGTACGCAATTAAGGCCATGATGTGTTAGTGCTGTTGGCAGGCCTTCATAGAAAGACAGACCAGCATCTGCTCCTGGAGGCGGGTGTGAGTCTGAATCTCATGCTGATCAAAGGTGTGAAAGCATACACTCAGGTAGAAAACAGCCATTGCCATGCCAACGGGAGTGGGAGACATGTCTTTGTACCAATCTTTTCCTCTTGTCACTCATTCTGCTTGGTTGGTTTTAAGCTTTCAGTATCCTCTGCATTATCTGTCACCTCTCAAACTCTTTCAGACACATTCAGGGCTGAAGAACAGGCCCCGGCAAACTGGCTTTACTACTTGTGTACAGGTTTTGCTAAATAATCACACTCACAATCATGTTTGCTTTGCACTGGAGAATCTTTTATATCTTTTGTCCCATTTGTAGACCATTAGCATAGTAAGACAAATACACACTATGTTAGCTTTCCCATTCATCTGATTGGCAGCTTATTGATT